AGATAATGGGAAACATGCAATCCCCATCTTTCCTTGTAGAAGCAGACCCCCGGGTGTTTCGACGCAAAACGGCTGCTGGAACGTTGACAGTCTGGTGTTCATGTTTGTTTTCTCTCTTTCAATCTTCACATTGCTCGATCCCCATTACGCATTTTGCGAATGAGGAATACTATGCATCACTCTGCCGCGTTCTAATGTACTGTTATCCATCATTTCCTTGGCAAAGACCCTTCTTGACGGCATCGTTTCCCCCTTTTAGCTATACGGACTTGCTTTTTTTGTGTGGAGAAGATCTGGTGACCTGGGATTTGTCTGTGCGTGTGATTTGTTAATTTGATGGGAGGGTAGAGAGTATGGATCGCGATTTAGAATATTTGTTGGATATTAGTTAGGTAAAGATGGATTGGGATTGAGGGGGCATGGTATGGGTATAGGGGATCATGCTAAACGTGAGAAGTTTGCGTGTTGATGCGACAGATGCAAGAGGTAAAGGAATGGGCTTGGGCGGGTGATGTTGAGGTGGGGAAAAGGAATGGGAAACGTGAGGTAGACTGTGGTGTTTTAGTCGTGATGAGGATAGAGTTTCGTTTGGATGCTAGAGCATGGAATTGAGATGGAGATGGGCAAGTAGAATGTGTGCGTGGAAGAAGACTGTGTGGTAAGCTACCATTGCAGCTGATGGCTGGTCAAATTGAAGCTCGGTTTTGGAACACGCCGTCTCTGTCCGAAGATACTCATGTCTGTTTGACAGTGTCACCTGCCTGTAAACGTCACGTTGATGTCAAGAGATGTGCTGCGGATGGAATCGAGATGATGAGAAAATCAGATGGTGTTGAGACGAAGGCCGATGTAACGTTCGTGAGACAGAGGTGCAAAGTTGCGGGCGGGCAAGCGGGCTGGTGAGGTTGGGAGGCGCCACTAGTCAAGGCTAGTTGGCCAGCCTCCATGCAGCCAATCCAGCCATTCTGTTTCGAACGTGTGTAGTGATGGACATAGAGTTTGAACGTAGTTGACCGACACTTTGGTACGCAGCAAACAAGCAGCGACAGCAGGGCGACCAAGCTGAACAGACGGTGTGCGGTGACTGAGTGCAGGTGTCGCTCAGGAGACCATGCAGGGCCAAGGCGAGGGCCCCATTCCGCCGTTGTCGAAGGATGCCACCCACCTTTTGCTTGGAGCGAACCCGAGGCCATACCCAAACGGGTCCCGGTTGCCGCTCCAGCCCCTTGGCTGCGCCCCTGCGTAACCCACTCGCTCACATTTACGAAGAGCCATACGAGATGATGCTGTCGGGCCTAATTTTAGAGCCTTGCAGCTTCTGAGAGGACGCGTAATGCCGTGTTGTTTGCCATTATTGAATAAGCGATATTAGCCATTGTTGGCGGGTATTGCATGCTGAATGCCGTGGATGTCGTAGTGAGTGGGTGTAGGTGCAAGTAGGGTCAGTCTTGCAAAGAAAGGGCTAAAGACAAGCAAGCGCTGACAAGCTTATCGATTGAACACGTGACGGGCCGCAGTGCTTACTGTCACTGTACTTGCTGTTCTGCCCTACTGCCGCCGGGGCCTGCGTGTAGTCAGAGTACAATGTGAGTAGCAGACAAAACGTTGGGGAAAACACGGCCAAAGGGGTGCGCGCGCCGTTTGACGAGAGCCAGTGCGCCCAACGGAGCGTCGAGCATTGAAAAATTGCCATGTTAAAAGTGGAGAGGCTGAAGCTGAAGCCGGGGTCGACAGGGCAATTGACGGGGGACATGACGACAGCATGCGCTTTGTTTCTGCGGGAACCCGCACACCACACGACACCACCACTACACCGCACTGCGCTGCGCAGCGCTGGGAGAAGGCTGGAAGATGGCGAGAGGTTTGCTGAAACTTGGGATGAGGCTGGGCTGGTCAGCGCCAGAGATCCGCCTGACAGCTCGCCCTGCATGCGGTGCGATATTTTTGTTTTCCATCTTTGGGCCGGCATGCTGAGACGACAATGGGACCAATTCCTTCCTTTCTCGGCGACCAAGACAATATCATTGTGTGCTGCTTGTAGGTAGTTGAGTAATATTGGCACATGTGTCGCGATCAGCGTCTGCAAGGACGATGGGAAATCAATAAAAAAAATATCTCTCCGCTGCCACAACGGACGCGAAACACGGTCGCCACCAAACAGGGCCACTATTGGCTGTGCTGGCCGCTAGCAGCTTGTCACAGCGCGCTTTGACCTATCTGGGGCTAGCGTGGGGCTGGCTGGTTGCCTGGTCAGGGTGGCGCGGGCCTCTCGGGCTAGTGTTAGCTCGTATGCCTGTTCCTCAGGAGCGGGTGATGAGAACAGCGGCAATAAAAGGAGGGCGCGTCGCGTACAATGATAATTCTTTCCCAGCTCCATCTCATCTCGCTCCAGTCGCTACTCGTCTGAATCGCTATTGCAAACTTGACCTTCATCGTCAATTTCCAATCCCTCAAAGACGCGTCTTTTTAATACCAACCACTACCACCACCACCACCCGAAAAAAACAAACACCCACATCTCTACCACCAAAATGCGTGCCTCCATCTTCGTCTCCACCGTGGCTTTTGCCCTTGCTTCGGCTCAGGTACGTTGCATTCTTCTGCATTGCCAAATTTCCCATGATCTGGTTCTGACATGAGTACCATAGAACTCTTCCCCGTCCGAGGACCCTGCTCCCCAGACTGCTTTCCTGACCCAGACAAACTCTCTGGGCGTCGTTACCGGCATGCCCCCGGTTGACACCTCCATTGCCAACCAGCCCAACGCCGTCACCGACCAGCCTGCTGTTGTCACTTCTCAGCCTCTTCCCGCCAACATTCCCGCCGTTGGCCCTGGTGTCTACACCCTGACCCTCGCCGGCACCGGCACCGGCACCGCTGTCAACCAGACCCGCACTGTCACCGTCAGCGCAAACAACAGCACCACTGTCGTCCTTGCTCCTGCCACCACCGCCTCCGGCGCTGGTGCTACCGGCAGCGGCTCCTCCCCATCTGGTGCTTCTCGCTCTGGCTCTGGCTCTGGCTCTGGTGCCTCTGCTACTGGCAGCGGCAGCCGCCCCGACTCCACTGGCGCTGCCTCCAACGTCAAGGTCGCCGCCGGTAGCCTCATGGGCTTCGGTGCCTTCATGGCCGCTTTCCTGTAAACGCTCTCTTCCCCCAACGAGACGCGTTTGACGATTTGATTTTCTGTTCTATTTCGTGGAGAGAGATGTTTTGATCATGTTCGGAAGTAATGTCCTTAAAGATACCTTAGCATGTCGTTTTTTTACCCTGAAACGCTACTTGGCGCGCCCCTCTTAGCACTGGCATGTGCTTTTGCATGGGAAAAATTGGAGCCTTGTTTTTTGTAATGTCTGTTATTTGACGGTGGAGGAACATCATGAGGCAACTGAATGAGCCATGTGGTATTACTACGCCGCTGGGGTTTTTGGGGTTTCGGTTCTTGAGTTGTACTGTAGCTGGAAGAAGACGAACACCCATTACCAAAATCTTAAAAACATTTGAAACAATGTACTACCTACTTCAATCTGGTGAGACTCTAGAGTGACAGGAAACTTTTTGCTAAAGCTGCACTCACATTAGCGTACGCAAAAACCAACATTGATATGTAGCAACTTCACCTCTCGCTCTCTCGCAAAATCCCACAAAACCGTTTCCCGTTCTTCATTCCTTCTTCCAGCCATTCAGCCAGCCAGCCATCCAAAAGAAAAAAAAACCCCCCATCCTCCACAATGGCGTCAGCCTTGCCCTCGCTCAAACACCTAGGCACTCTCCCCTACACCACCCCCGCCAGCCGCCTCCGCACCCTCGACATCTGGCTCCCCGCGTCCCCAGAAACGGCACCTTCACTCTGGCTCATCTACCTCCACGGCGGCGCCTGGCACGACCCGCTCCAAGACTCGACCTGCATCCACCCCCTCCTCACCCACCTCAGCAGCACGCACGCCTCGACGCTACCCCAACTCGCCGGCATCGCAAGCCTCAACTACCGCCTCTCGCCCTACCCCGCGCACCCCACGCACCCCAGCTCCCCCTCTGACCCGGATCGCTCTGCAAAGCACCCTACACATGTCCGCGACGTAGCCGCCGCTCTACGCTTTCTCGCGCAGAACCATGGCATGAAGCGCTGGATCGGCGTCGGCCATTCCTGTGGCGCAACAATGCTCGCGCAGCTGGTTTCGGGCATAGGCGCCGACACTGGTGTCGCAGAGCCACTTGCGGGACCAGAGGCGTTGGTGTTGCTCGAGGGCATATACAACATACCGCTTCTGCTGCGGAACCACTCGCCGCCCACGTGTCCGGCGCATATTTCAGATATATACCGGTCCTTCGTCGCCGACGCATTCGGGGCGGACGCAGACGAGAAGGCCTTGTTGGAAGTATCGCCCGTGTCGGGAAAATACAATAGTGAGCAGTGGCCCCAAGGAAGGTTGCTGCTTATTTGCCATAGCTACGAGGATGAGCTTGTGGAGCGGGCGCAGCGCGATGTCATGTGTGTGGCGCTGGATCGGCAGGGGTGGAGTATAGTCATGGAGGCTGGCGATGAAGAGGATGAGGTCAGGGCCGAGGGACGCAGAGTGCTTAATGTGAGGGATTTGAAGGGTGGCCATGATGAGATTTGGGAGGATGGGAGACAGATTGCTACCTTGATTGCCGAGGTGGTGCAACGGTTAACCTGACTATGTAAAGTTAGAGATATAGAGTACTAACATCTAGACGAAAAAAAAGGGCTACAATCACATCATACAAGAACATATACCATGTGCTGGGCTTGGTTTCAAGTCATATTCATTGGCTGCTACGATTCCTTATTAATTTACAAAGGGATGGAGTCTTAATGCACCAAGCAAGACTCCTCGGGAAATGCTTTTCAATGGCCCGTATCCAATAACCCTCATGCAATCGTTTCGTGGGCCGTGCTAGTTATACAGCTTTGTGTAATGTACAATCGTATCGCCTTCCCATTCTACCTATTCGCTTCCTTCAACCACTATCCATGATTACCTGTTGTTCAGCCTCTGGTCCATGGCCTTGTTGATCTCGCTATGCACCTCACTAGTCCCGCTCTCGACATTGTTCAACTTGTTCTGAAGCTCTTTGATCTTCTCGCTAGCTTGTGTGCTGGCTCGTCCACCTTCGATTGACTTGGAGGCCTTTGCTTGCGAGGCACTGACATTGCCGTAGACTGCCATGGCACTGGCAATCATGCCGCTGATGTCACCCACATTACCAGGAACCACAATGCTGGTACCCTCTTTGGCAAGGTTACCAAAGGCATCGACATACTTTTCAGCAACAGAGAGCGAAATGGCACTCTGTGCGGCACCTTCGCCTTGAGCAATGGAGCGTGCAACAGCATCGATACCATTGGCTGTAGCCCTGGCCTTGAGTAAGATAGCCTCGGCTTCTCCGCTTGCCATGTTGATTTGCTCTGCTCTCAGAGCCTCGGATGCCAGAATCACAGACTGCTTCTTTCCCTCAGCAATGTTGATAGCAGACTGTCTTTGACCCTCGGATTCCAGAATCTCGGCTCGCTTGGATCGTTCAGCAGTGACTTGACGGTGCATGGCTTCGACAACCGGTTCGGGTGCATGGATGTCACGGATCTCATAGCGCAGGCAAGTAACACCCCAGTCCTGGGCAGCCTCGTTGATGGCTGCAGTAATATTCGCATTGAGGTTGGCGCGCTCCTTGAGGACGTGGTCGAGGGAAAGCTGGCCGATTTCGGAGCGCATCGTCGTCTGTGCAAGCTGGGAGATGGCATACTCTGCGTCTTCTACGCCATAGCTGTTTGAATTTAGTATCTTGATAGTTTCCAATACATCTGGCAGCACTCACCTCGCCTTGTATGCGTCAAACACACGAGTGTACAATACGCCATCGAGCTCGAGTGTGACATTGTCGGCTGTGATGGCGCTCTGGCTAGGTATCTCAATGGCATTCTCTTTGAGACTCTTGACATAGGCTATCCGGTCAATAAAGGGTATCAGAATGGCCAGACCAGGCTCCAGTATGCGGTTGAACTTTCCCATGCGCTCGACTATCCATGCTGTCTGCTGCGGCACAAAGCGAACAATGGTATTGGTGGGCAGGCGCCTGTGTGACGAGGAAAAGTACGATGGAGGCCCCGATGCAGATGTCAGCTGGCCGAACGATGAGAAGACACTTGTCGGGTTCGTGGCGGACTGTGAGCTGAGGTGCGAGTTGCCGCGGGCCGACAATGTGGTCACTGCAGCAGCCAGTGGTGTTATCCTCGAGTTTGCCAGTGGCCGCGAGCCTCGTAATAGTGTTGAAGCCATGGTGGCTGCCAACCGTGTGCGCGACGCCATGACGAGTTCAATTGTGGCTACGAGACGGTTGATGACGGACACGCGATGCTCCAACTATCTAGTAGTAGCGACGCCATCGGCCCAGGACTGATGGCATCGCCGACCGCCGCCTTACATAATCAAGCGCCCTGGTCATGCACAACGATTACCTAGAAGGGAAGTGTGATGGGAGACACTGCAGGTGCGAGTAGCAAGGCCATAAAACATGTGAGCTCCATTAATCAATTACACCTCTCTAGCTAGACCTGTCCTCTGTTTGTTGACAGGTATACCGCATATATGTGAAGCTCATATGCTGAGTAAAACGTAGTCTATTTTGCTGCTATGCCGACCCCAAATCCATGGTATCAGTCCTCGGTACAATAAATCCTGTCACAATACCCCAAACGCCGCGCTATGCTTGATAAAAATCGAAATGCTGGTCCTCCTTTTACAACTTGACTTTCTTCACAGGCTTCTGCTCCGATGCATCATCCTTCTTTCGTTTGAAGATGCTCTGACTCTTCATTTGTCCAAGGCCAGCCTTGTTAGCTGGAGCGGCCTTTGTCTTTAGGCCGAAGCTTAATTTGACAGGCGCTGCATCGACCTTCGCTTCCTCGTCGTCTTTCTTTTCTTCCCCTTGCTTCTCCCCATCAACCAGCGAATCTGATTTGTTGCCTTCTGTTGGAGAGGCCTCTTCCGCAGGTGGAGTGACTTGTTGTTGGATCGCTGCCTGGGCTGCGGCTCGTTTTGCTTCAATGACCTTTTTAGCTTCGGCTTCTTCCTGAGCACGCTTTGCCATCTTTTTCAGCATCTTGTCTTCGCCGGCTCCGCTGCGCGCTTCCGCGGCCTCTAATTCTGCAATTTCGTTGCGTCTCTGTACCGCCGCAGCACTGGTATCTCGCCATGCGATCATCAAGCCGTCCTTTTCGTCTTCCTTGACATGACAAATTCCCTCGCGACCAAGATGCTTTGTAAATTCTGTGAGAGAACTCCATTTCGTAGCGTTCACTGTTGATGATTAGTATATTTCCGAAACATTGAGGGTCTTGGTGTACTCACTATGTACATGCTCCTTATCCCTAATATACTCGTTGTAGAATTTGTTCGCAGATATCCACTGCGGCCATGTTAGTTGAACAGCGTTTTATCAAAGCCAAGGAGACTGTACAAACCTTTTCGTTATGCGCCGTCCGCAACAAATTGACGAAATCCCTCTGGAAATCATTACTGAAGTTGTTGATAAACTTCTTTGGGTCCTCGCCGACAATCTGGAGATTCCTGACATGGCTCTCGCTCTGTACGTGGCATTTAAATCCGTTGGCGTCTCGACATTGCTTCTGGCAGGGCTCACACCACCAGCGCAGGCGCTGCAGCCCCTTTGACTTCATCTTGTTCGCGACCCATTTTGTACTACCGGCTTCTGCTTTGCCCATGGTTTACGTGTGTGTATGTGTCGGTGTCGGTGTGTGATGTGCGTATGGTCGAGTCGTGAATGCGCGCGTGGTATTCTGTGTGCAGCGTAGTCTAAGTACGGTGTAGGACGTGTTATCGTGTTTCCTGATCGTTACAACTACGGAATGACCGTAGTGCAGCGGGTTGCAGTAGCAGGTGGGGTAGCGGGGTGTGTGGTGGTCGAGTGAGAGAGTTGAATGCAGAGAGTTACGGAAATCTAAACACATCGGGCTGACTAACACAGAGATCGCCACCCGCGGCATCCTAGTCTTGGCACTGGGGAACAGAACCAGGGTTCTCGTGCACGTGCCTCTTTCCTCAAATACATAATAATCATGAGGCATGTAGAACTCGAGTCCTCAGAAGCTATAACATTTCTATAGATTTAGAAATTACTAGTAGAGTAGTAATTACTACAGCCGTACGCGCTTATCCTCAAGTCCCTGCCATTCCGTCTTTCCAAATGGTGAATACCTATTACTTCTATGCGGCAGCCAGTATAACTTATCTCCGCCCGTAATTTTCTCCGGGTCTATACCTTCCTGTTTGAGGCGCCCTTTACTAACCATCATCGTTCCTGTATATTCGAGTGCCGGAGTAACTCTCAGGAACAGCGGTACAGCATAGCCCGGCAACCGAGCTCGGGCGTGCTCTGCAAGGCCAACGAAGTCGAATGTCGACTCTGTCACGCCGTCTGCCATGGCAATTGAGGCTGTGCCAGCTCGGCCATCGTGACCTGGCACAAGGACACCATATACAGTGGTTTCAGCAATCTGGGGGAATGTGCCCATCATGTCCGCGACTTCATGGGTAGACACGTTTTCGGATTTCCAGCGAAACGTATCGCCGAGTCGATCGACAGAGAAGACTCGGCCTTCAGCGTCTTGCCGAAACATGTCACCGGACTTGAACCATCTATCTGAAGTTAGAATTCTTTCGCCAGCTTGGCATCGTAGAGCTTACATGTCACCCTTTTCAAACACATCTGTAATTAGTCTCTTCTGCGTGGCCGCCCCGTTATTATAGTAGTTCGGTACAGTAGCCATCATTCCAGGTGTGAGCCGATAAAGCATTTGACCGGGTTCATTGACACTGCATCGTATCGAAAATCCCTTGCGGTCTCTCACGATCTCTTCAGCATCGAGATCCATCTTGACCAGTACTTCCTGGTTTCGAAATTTCCAATTCCAGATCAACCCTCATAGCCCAATACAATTTGCTGTAAAAGGACCCGCGTTACAATTGAATGACGATCTGAGGCCATCGGTTGCGGCGAAGAGCTCGTGAATGACTGGTATGTTGAAGCGCTCACGGAACAGTTCCCACACGTCTGGACGCATGCCATTGCCCCACGCCATCTGCACCTTATGGTCCCTTTCGTACGGGCTCTTTGGGCCATTAAGGAGATATCGACATAACTCACCGACGTACTGAATGATGTTTGCCTTTGAAGCCGCAACTTCAGGCCAGAACGTCTTGTGTGAGAATTTCCTGCCTAACACCACTGTATCTCCGCCATGAATAGTTGTTGCTGTACAGAGGCTGTGTCCAGCGCCATGGTAGAGCGGCATACATGTATACATTCGACTTTCAGGCTTGATATTTAGATGTTCTGACATTGACCAGCCAACCATAAGCTCGCGAAGGGAGGTTGTGCACACACCTTTGGGCAGGCCAGTGGTTCCGGATGTGTATAGTAGGCTTCGCACCGACTCTAGTTTAATGTTTTCAGTACGACTGTCGGGAATGGCCGTGGTGTTTGATAGCGATGAAAAGAACGATGGATTATAATAGTGGATTTTGATGTCCGTCTTCTCGAGTTCGTCACGGCACGGTTCAACATTCGCTTTAACATCGATGTCTGCAATGACGAATCGAGAATTACACAGCTGGGATGCTTGTTAGATGCAACACTATGTAATGTATGATCGAAGGATTTACCTTTATGCAGTGAACCAACCCCGCCCCTGTCAGGTTCCAGTTCAAAAAACTCGTAACCGCACCGATTGCATCAAGTGCAAACCAAAGCATGAGATGTTCCGGACTGTTCCCACCATCAATTGCGACTATCTCCTCTACCTGTACGCCCAGCTCATCAACTAGCCAGTTCGCAACCCTCGTATATGCCTCAGAGAACTCCTTGTACGACCATGTCTTGCCCTCAAAGACAAGAAAGGGGTGGTTTGGTTGTTTTCGGACCTGATCTTGAAAGACATGATGCGTGAGAACGCGTTTTTGTGCGATGCGACTGTTCAAGAACTTAGTGTCTCCAGACGACTGCGTTATTCCACCAATGCTCTTAAGGTCGTGGACTATATGGTATTTGGCGTTGATGTAGGCAGTGAGAGCTGCAGCACCAGCAGCAGCACCAGCAACGATGGGTACTGATGAGACTAGTTAGCAATTCCTCTAGATCATTGTACATGTGAGCTTCAAGCATACACTCCATAATGGTTTTACTTCTGAGGTATTCCTTATCCTTTGACTACTTTGACAAGAGCAGTAAATATTTGTCCACATCTTGACCCTCGACCCAGTCCCTATGTGAAAGCCGAGGGTTTTACAATTATACTGACTCGCCTTGTTTTTTATAGCGTGGTTTAAGCATACTAGACGGGCTAATACAGCGGCGCCGAGGTTATTGGCTATTAGGGAGTTACAGTACTAACTCAAAAGTCTGTTCGCACTAGCGTCTGGGCGCACCAACACTACTTTTTTGCCCAATTTCAACACCGTGCAACTCCACCAAATCATATTTAATTTTTAAATTAAGATAAAAGAATTGCTGCTGCGATTGCTAATATTTTGTCT